GGGGGGGGAAAATGTTTTTTTAATTTCTTGTTCTTCTAGCATATTAGTGCAAGAATACAATAAGAATACAGCAGAAAGCTACATGGTGGTGTTAAAATATGGCTTACTGCATCTGTCAATTAAACCATCTGTAATTCAGAAAAGCCTTTACAGGGTTTCCACATCTCCAAAAGAGTCATCAAACTTCTGTACTAAGGTAAAAAGCTACTTACTGCAGAATCAATCAGCAGCTCATTGATCTTTGTAACAATACAGGAGTCCATTATCAGTTTCCATGCTCCATTTTCCTGACACTCTGCAATCTTTTTACCCTCCAGACCATCAGCACACATAGCGCTCGCTTTGTCACCCGCTCTTCCAGTCCCGTACTCCTCATCTTCACATACAACAGCTTAAAGGTTTGCAAAATATATAATCAGTCAGAGGAAAAGTAAAATGGAAAAAAAGACTGTGTTTCATAGGTTGCTCTTACGATCTGTGAATATGTTCACTTTTGTTGTTGCTTTATATGTCGCATCTTCAGTAACTTGACAGGTAAATTCTCTTGTTGGGTCACTGCAGCCTTGCATGTTAAATTCATGTATGATGCAGTCTTTTTCAGGAACTGGAAATTGAATTGAATTGAAACAGATTTTTACAACGTACATACTGTAGTAAAGAGCTATTGAATTGCTAAGCATACGGTAAATATTAAACATATTTGTCATTCATTGATGCTTACCTGAACTTAATTCTGTAGAACCCTCGTACCATTTCACCTTATAAGGAGACTGCACACAGCAAGTAACTTTTTCGTTTTTATTCTCCTCACATTTAACCCACCTTGTTTGTGAGATTCGCACATTAGGGGCTTGTCTGATCTCACTATTTTTCACAGTTCTCTTTTGGATAAAACTAAAACCTTCCCCCCGTAGTATGCATTCATAAAGCCCTGCAATTACAAACATTGTATGATTAATTATTTTACAAAATAAAGGTGAATAATTGATCATGTGGATGCTGATCATTTACACTGTCAGCTGTGGCACAGAGGGGAATAGTTATAGTATCTGGTGAAGATTCTCAGTCATGCAATTCATAATCATTACCAAAAAAGTTATGCATGTTTTCTAAAGGCTTTGTAGGGCTACTGTATATGAGCCTCAAGCCCAATGCTATTTTTGACATTTGAATTAAAAAAAGGTTCCTCGATTGGAAGTGAAACGTCTTTAAACTTGGAAACAAAGTCCAGTAGATTGTTTTTTTTTAACTTTTGTTTTATACTTTTTTGGAAATAGTTACAGTATCATTCAGTTAAAAAGTTACATCTTCTTTCCCTGGTACATGTTGAAGTGCTTTTGGGCATAGAACTCAACCCGAAGCTACCTGCAGACCTGAATATCTGTGTTTGAATGTGTGTACATATGTAGCTCTGGCTGGGTGAATGCTAGCTCAGAATGAGCATGCTTGTTTGGCTGGCATGAGTTTCAAAAAATCTATAATGTCCACATTGCTGACATTATACAAGCTTCCCTGTCATTGAAATTATATACTACCTTTGGTGTTTTTTGTGTTTGTTTCCGTAGTCCTACTTTGTTCTACTCATTCCAAAAAGGTAAAAAAACAATCCACTGGACTTGGCTTCCAAGTTTGAAAACTTTTCGCTTCTCATCCAGGAAACTTTTACAATAAAAAATAGCAGAATTAGCGTTGAATTTGAAGCTTTATATACTAGCCCAAAAACGTTTGGCTTAGAAAATATGCAAATTGAACAAGAAGAACAGGTCTAATCCTTAGGAGTGGCAAGTCGTTTTGGGTTCTTTGTCACACTGCAATACCCAATACTGGGCTATGCCTATGAAAGGGGGGATTGCTAGGGGCAATTGTTGGCTTGGTTGCCCAGTACGGTGAGACTTTTTGTCCCCTGCATGGGGTGGGGGGTTGAAATGATAGCAGGAAGGAATCAACTTTATCCCTGCATTGTAGGTTTCTGAAAGCTGAAACCTGAGACAACCCCCTCTGTTTAAGGTTGGATTTTCTCTAGTAACATAAATGGCTTCCTTCACAACACTTTCAAACCACCTGTCTTTTTTGTCCAAATGTAAACATTCTAGTTCTCAACTGAGTGTCCCTTGTCCTTAAGGTGCAAGTGGATAGCAGAGTCCTGTCCAGAGGAGTCCAATTTGCACGTTTCTAAGCCAAAACCAGTTTTTGGGCTACTGTATATAGCTTCGAACTCAACACTAATTCTGACATTTTGAAACAAAAAAGCTTCCTGGATGGAAAGCGAATCATCTTCAAACTTGGAAACCAGGTCCAGTGGATTGTTTTTTAACTGTTTTGGAATGACTATGACCTGGATGACCGAGAATCTTTACCAGCATACTTTATTGTACCAATTTCCCTACATCTGGACTTCTGCAGTTCTCTTTTCTTCTGATAAATGTTACCCAAGTTTTTTGAATAACCAAATATGCAAGAAAACAAAAGAAAGCTTTGACTAAACATTTTCAAATATTCTCTTAAAATATATATTTTTTTCTGTTGAAGCATAAAGTCATCCATCAAGATTACAGAGATGTCAACTTGGGTCAAGGCAGCGATATTTCAACCATTAATGGTCACTACAAATTCACAAAAAAAAAAACATAAATTAAATCATCTACAGTTTTTTTAACTCTTGGGAGGTTTAAGCCTACCAAATAAAACTGTTGTAATGGCGCGCAGTAGCCATAACAACGAATAGATGAAACTACTCGTAGCCTTATTGTGGCAGTACTGTATGTCCAATGGGGGCAACTCATATTTAACAGGTTAAACACATTTTGTTTTTGTTTTTTTCATTTTTATTTAAATAAAATAGTTTTTTACTTACCAGCATCACCTGATATTACTTTTTCCACTACCAGGTTGGACTGATTTTCAGAAGAAGATATTTTATGTCTCTCTGATCTAATTTCAAACCCATTAAATTTCCATTCAGTAGTTTTCACTTTTCCCATATTGACGTTGCTAGGGTCACAAGTCAGGGTTATGGTTTTCCCAGTAAAAATATAATCCTTTACACTTGATTTAAGTTGGTTCGGACCTTAAAGAGAAAATTAGGTCAGCTTAAAATACATTAATGTAAAAAAAAAATTTAGTATGTTTAACTTACTGTTGTACTCTGCAGTCGGTGTAGCAAGAACACGAGCAATTGGCCCCAATGCTTTATCAAGCCTTGAATTGGCCTCAGTGATTTCAGTCAGATCAACTGGTCCAGACATCTTCACAGTAAAATCTGCAATAACACTGCCTGGCCTTTGGGACACACACACAAATCAACAACAGCATTATAATTGTTGAGTCCAGAATCTTGATTTTTATTTATTAAAGAAAAAACATACCTAAGATCTGTCACAGAAACACCAATGTATCCAGTCAGACGTGTATACGGCTCCCCAAGCTGGGTGGAAAAAACAAGATAAGTTACTTTAACTATGAAGATGAGTAAAGAGAGTGCTGGAGGACAAAGGGACACCTTTTTCCTCACTCTGTTTCATTCTATCTCTATTCTCCCACTCTGCAGAATCTGTTATTTCAATCTCTAACGTTCTGCTCTCTCTGCTTTTTCTCATAGTAGCTTTGCCTTGTAATATCAGCTGCCCTGCTGCCATCAACACCTATGTTTATAGATGTTTGAGATCGGCCTGTTTTTCAGTGCAGTCCTGTTTCTCTGACTGTGACCGGTTTGGATGTGCTCTCTCCATCCTCTAACACTGGAGCTGGCTCTGAGCTTGTCTGTCTGGTTTTGTATTTCCTAGACGGGGCCGCCTTTTGTATCTCTGCTTCTGTCTCCTTGAACCCAGTCGGCCTCGGCAGATGGGCGCTCACACTGAGTCTGGTTCTGCTGGAGCTTTCTTCCTGTCAAAAGTTTTTCCTCTCCACTATCGCTACAAGCATGCTTAGTAAGAGGGATTGCCTGCGAGTCAATAAGTTGATGCAATTGACTGGTTTTCCTTAGATAGAAAACTTTAATCAATTTGACTGGATGATCTGGTGAACTGTAAAGTTCACCAGAAGCAGTGTGCTTGTGCTCTGAGAAGTTTGCAAGTATCATGTTCGATCCCCACGCTGGTTTCCTGAGCAAAACCCAAAACCAAGCAGTGGGCTGCCCGCGTGACACACAATGGCAGCCCACTGCTCCCCAAGGTGATGGGTAAAATGCAGAGAGGCAATTTCCCATTGTGGAACAATTAAAGGATTTAAATTAAGGGATTTACATGACACACATTACAATATGACAATGTAATCTGGTAACTATAATAACTTTAATGTGCTTTGTAAATGCATAGAAGAAAGCAGTGCATTGTCATGCCAAAATTTTCTACATCTGAATAAACAAAACAAAAGTCCTAACTTCTGGACTATTGGAGAAATGATAAAAACTTGGATATAGCTTCAGTTATTTCAGATAGGATCCATTGATCAGGACTGAAATCTGAACCCACAAGTTCATACAGACAGTTCTGGAGTCTGCCTTTTACTACCTGAAGGACTTTTGTTTTAGCAGATTTAAAAAAAACTAATCCAAATATCTATTTCGTCAAATTGATTAGTGCAACTTAGAAGTGGAACAGAGAGCTGCAGTTGATCCAGAATGCTACTGTTCTCGTCCTCACTTTACCTAAGAAAGTCCTTCCACTGGTTCCATGGATCTGACAGAATAGACTTTAGAATACTTATTTTAAGCTTTAAATTACTGAATGTCTTGCACCAAAATACATTATCTTTAAAATATGTTAAATTAGACTTGTCTGTGTATCAATTACCCAGACCTCTCAGGTCTTCAGGGTCAAGTCTATTCCACATTCCCAAAACTGGCTCTAAACACAGAGAGGCAGCTTTTAATTCTGTAACCCTAAGCTTTTTCTTAGGGTTAAAAGCTTAACAAGCTTTAATAAGGTTAAAATGTATTTATTTATTTATTTTTTGGTCTTTTAATGATTTTAACTTTTAACTATAATATTATATGGATAGGTTTGCTATCCATCTCAGCTTTATCTGTCTCTATTATTCCACTGCAATGTACTTCTCTCTGTGTTATGTTTTTGTTCTCTTCATTCTTTGCCTTTTGATTTGCCCTTTAATTGAAATTTACAATACAAATACATTTGCTTTGCCTTGTTGAATGTTTTCTAGATCAAAACATATTCAAAACTTGTAGAGAAATGAAAGCTACTCACCGCTTCAGCAATTCTTGATGAAAGGTCTCGGAATTCCTGACTGGTTTTATCGTTGTACTTATCAATGAATTCCAGGTCTAGCTCGACTGACATTGGTATGTCAGTTGCTGTTTATTCAAAATAAAAAGTTTATTTTTCTGGTCTCTGAGACAGAGCATGCAAATTAAACACATATACCAATAAACAGCATTCACTTTCAACAAATATCACACAGCCTAATAAAAATATATATATATATTCTATAGATGACATCTGTTGTTTTAAGTAGGGTCATTTTAAAAATAAAAATGAAAACAAACAGGTTGTTTTTGTTTATTGTGACTTATCAGTACAGCCACACGGTGCACAAAATCTTTAACTGTGAAAAACTCATATGACAATATTTGACTGTAAACAATAATTGGCAGTTTTTGGTCATTCAGCCTGAAATGCAGCAGAATATTATTATATATTATATATAATATTATAACTAAAAAGATGATGAAACAAAATCAAAAAGATTTTCTTCAAAAACCATGCCTTAGTACCTCTAATGCTGTTATCTTCAATTAACCTATGCTTTAAACAATTCTATACTTAAATGCAGTAACTTGTAATTAGTATTACATTTATTGTCAGATATACACAAAATTCTATTCTGTCTGTCAAATCAGATGTCTGACTAATTAAATTATGGTTGTCAGACAATTGCATTGAATTCAATTAAATTCACATCAGTTTATTTAAATGTTGCGCCGATGTCATTTTTTTTTGCCCTAATATCGATGCTCGACACCTGGCTGTGCAGTATTGGCCGATACCATACCAATACCATCTGTTTGAAATTGATGTATGTGTGTATATAAAGAACAACATACTACTTGGATGTAAAATAATTGCCATCATGGTCTTGTCAAGCTGCTGCCTACCTTTGTGAAGCACGAAAAAGACTAATACAAAGTGAATCCAGTAGAACTTTTTATTGCCTGCCTGGAATGGTGTGAGTGCCCTGTTTGTTGGTACTCACCGAAACCGATACCAGCATTTTAGTACTGGATCGGGGCCCTGCCCGATACTGGTATCGGTGCAACACTACTTTAATTTTAAAGGTTTGATTCACAGCTAAGGATATAAAACCCCTTTATAGAGTTATTTCAATCAACTCATACCAACAGACAGGAAAGCCCAGCAAAATCCTCATATTGCAATGTCTGACACAATCAAGTACCCCTTCCTTTAAACAAGCTCATGCACTCGTCCTTCTGATTACTAAAAACAATATGTTAAATTTAAATGCGAAAATTCTATTCAAACCCCTGGCCAAATGACAGATAATCTAATGAGTGGTTCTCGATCCTGGTCTTCAAGTATCACTATCTTGTTTCCCCTTGCTGCCAAACATCTCTAACTTATAAATAATTGAGTGTCTTCTACAGCACTTTAATTCAGCAATTCAATCATTCGACTTAGGTGTGCTGAAACAGAGATATCTAAAAGATGCAGAGCAGTGGCCCCCGAGAACCAGGACATAGAACCCCGGATCTAATTTCTGATGGGTTCAAGGGGAATTTTTCAGTGGATCATTACCTTCAACAGGTATTTCAGAAGTTATTGTGGTAGAAGCCAAAGCTGTAGTGCCTTTAGTTGAGGAGGTAGAAGGTTTGGGTGCATTGGTAGTAGTTGTGGTGGTCTTGGTAGATGGGGCACTGGTTGTAGTCGGAGTTGTCTGGGGACTGGCTGTAGTTGTAGTTGTCGAGACACTGGTCATAGTTGTAGCTGTCGAGGCACTGATTGAAGTTGTTGAGGCACTGGTAGAAGGTGCAGGTGTAGATTTCTCTGTAGTTGTAGCTTTTAAAGGAGTTGTGGAATTAGTTGAGGTAGAGGTAAAAGTTGGCTGTTGACTGTCAAAAAGGCCAGCTGTATTGTTTTTCATGGGAGTACTTCTAGTGGTGTTAGTTGTTGGATGACTAGTGATTGCTGTAGTCTGTGTTAAATGTGTAATAGTTGAATTTGGTACACTGGTGGTATTTTGGACTGTTGTAGTTGCTTTAAGGATAGGGGTGTAAAACTAGATTATATTCAAAAGAATCACAATCATCAAATTAAGTGCATGGGACATTCTAACAGTTCGTTCTGTTACGAAAATTAAATTTTAGTAAATGTATTTAAAATAAACCAAGTGCAATCAGAATGCTGTATCTATTGTGAGAGAACATAAATTCACATTTCAATCTGACAATCAGCGTTATTTGGCTTTTTTGGGGGTAAAAACTGCCTAATTTAAAATCTTACAAATGTAGTGAAAACAAGTTCTAAGTTTAGTATAAAATAAAAATAATACTAGATTAACAGGGCTGGTGATATGAAATCCTGAAAAGCACCATATGGTGGCAGCTTAAAGTGAATTTTGGCAAAGCAAGTTCATCTTGAAACGAGCATCTCCTTAGAAATGGTTACTTAGATGAAGCAGACTAATAACCAGAGAATAAAGAGGCACACTAACATAAAAGGCCCTTACTTGTCACTGAGGACGTCATGGGTTGTGGTGTAGCAGTTGTTGCATTAGTAAAAACAGGCAATGAATCTGAAAGAGAGGAAAGCATTAGAGCTGACTGTCTGAACCATAGATATCAACTGATTAGAAGTTACAGTTGTTGTTGCTATAGTTGCTAAAAAGATATACTGGCAATGTTTCCCTATTGTGGAAAA